TGAGCAATTGGAAGAAGCGAGTCATCCATTGACTGACTGATGATGGAATACAGTGACAATTGCTCCTTCTTCTTGAGTGGCAATGCTAAAGTTAGTTTAACACTTGACTGCTTCAATCGCCTAGCTGAACTGTGACTAGTGCCGACGTCCACAGAGTGTAGCAACCACCTGATTGACACTACCATTTGCAGTTGTAATTGTAAGCTGTGCATTGGGTGCAGTCAAGCATTTGATGCCCTTATCGAATCCTCTTCTTAGGTCCTTACATATCGAAAAAAGCTTAGGGTGAGAAATTGTTTTCAAAATGTCAGTTTGAGCGAACGCAGTCGCCATCCTGTGAGCGACATTGACGCTGATTATTTTACGTTGCAAGTTACTGTTATTTTTTAAATCTAGTAGATGGCGTATAAACTCAGAAAAGTCATTTTCGATTACTTGGTTTCGATTACTTTTTGACACCTAGTGTTCACTGTGACCTTTACTCGATTGATTTTACCGTGAAACAGTGTTATCAGAATGACTGAAGGTTCAAAACAATTAGTGCAGACCTGCGCAAACAACGGTTGCCTTGCTATAAAAAGCCTCCAGCAATGTACACTTTCACATCACTTGGCAAACTGTGCACTGTGCTCACCCTGCTCATTCTGCATCATCTCTAGTTTTTATCCTCGTCTGACCCATCACCGCATTGACTTCCATCACCACTCCTTTTCCTTCTTCCTTTCCTTCTTCTCTCATCACTACCTGAAAATCATCATGAGCTCGCGAAGTGCTCGTGCCGGTCTCCAGTTTCCCGTTAGTCGAATCCACAATCAACTACGGAAAGGCAACTACGCAAACCGAATTTTTAGTGGCGCTCCGGTGTATCTCGCTGGAGTGATTGAGTATCTGGTGGCAGAGGTAGTATCTCGAATTGAAGTGTAATCATTTAACCATTGCTCATTAATCTTTATCCACTATTTTAAGATACTCGAGTTGGCCGGAAACGCCGCCAGAGACAATAATAAGTTGCGAATCAATCCTCGACACATCCAGCTGGCTATTCGCAACGATGAAGAGCTGAACAAACTACTCGCCGGAGTGACCATCAGCGAGGGAGGCGTCATGCCACACATCAACAGTGCTCTTTTGCCGCCCAAAAAACCTAAAAACTCTGGTGAAGGAAAAGGCCACAGTCAGGAGATATAATTTGTTAAATTATTTTATGCTCAAACTTGAAAAATTTACTTAACACTAACTTATCCATCAGTTGTGCACACTTGTGCTTACAACTTTTTTTTATAATACACCATTTCTAATAAAAGATTTTCCTTTCTTGAACATTCGTTCTTTTCATTTGTGTTTGGTTTTTAGTATAAAATCTGTCAAGCAAATCGATTCTCTCTTTGAATCACTTAGGTAAATTGAATTTGATGAAAGTGTGCCAACTGAAAGAAGGAGAACAGAGACTTTGGGGAGAAGGAGTAGTGTGCTTTAAGAACAAATCAGTAATTGAATTGCATCAGCTTTCACAAATGGAACTACCATAATCGGATCAGTGGACGCGATAGCGACTGGCAAGTCATTTGCTCGCGATTAGCCTAATGGCTCTCGATCGCTTTTGAGCGTGACACAGCAAACCTACTTCCAATGGCACTGGGCTCCAGTGTCCACTGGCCACGTGCAACACCTCAGTGCACTGGCTGCAGCACAACAGTAGTACCTGCACCGGACCAAACGCAGACTTTGTCAGTGACCAGTGAGTGCCTACCTAATCGCCATTAAGGTAATTATTATTATTGTTATAAAGGGCGCTCAATGACAATCGACAAGGACAAGCTTTTTTATTATTGTTATTAGATACGGAGGGGACGCAAATACACACGACAACTTGCACTACAATTAAAGGTAAGAAAACGGTGACATTCTGTGTCAAACAAGATTTACTGTTAGCCACTCTATTCTCAAANACAACTTGCACTACAATTAAAGGTAAGAAAACGGTGACATTCTGTGTCAAACAAGATTTACTGTTAGCCACTCTATTCTCAAAAATGTGTAAATTGATTGTACCACTACAGAAACCACTGTGAAAATGGATTCTTGCAGAAAGCATAAGAAGCTTCCATGTTTTCTCCATCCAGCTCTGTGAGGGGTGTCTTTCGGTCATGCCGACTCTCTTCGTTGGTTTCAATGTCTACAAAGTTGTCACTTGCTTCGCTGAGCGTGTCTTGCAGACTGTCCAACCGAAGACAAGCTTGCTCACTGCTCACCGACTGCTCTTGGCCATTGCTGTGCATAGCCAAGACAATTTCATCGTCCCTAGTTTGGTCACTAGGCGACATTAACTGCTGTTGTTGTTTTCTTTTGGTTTTGTAGCGACGATTCTGAAACCTGCAACAACATTAAATGAAATGGATAAAGATGCAAAGTAAACATCATACGATTTCATACCAAATTTTTACTTGTGTTTCGGTAAGTTTTAAAGCTGTAAGTGAGATTTGTCGATAAACTGGTTGTAAAATCATAGCAGAGAAACTCACCTTGAGCTAGATCTGCTCGCTCTGGACCACTTAGGTACTTTTGATGAGTGAAGCGTTTTTCCAACTCGTACACTTGTGCATGAGAGAATGCAGCTCGAGAGCGCTTCTTTTTGGGCTTTTTTCCCGAGTCCATTCTGCACTTGTCAGCGGCCACTTCACTCAAGTGCCGTTTCATATCAGGAAAGTTTAGACTGTGAGACAGTTCTGCAAAAGACAGTTAACCGGGTTAAACGCTCAAATAGTTCTGGGTATAATAGTAGAAAGTGATTTATATGCTAATTTTACCTCTGATGTGAAACAAGTCGGAAGGAATCGAAGCGCCAGTAACTGGCTTAATTTTGCATTTAGAAAGATTGCTGTCATTTAGTAGAAAGTTGCACTTTTTTAGAAAGTTATATTTAATCGAGATCGGGTCCACTATGGAGGGGATCACACTGGCTTGCATCTTAGTGTGCTCACCATGACGAAAGAGATTTTGGTACACGTCAAAGAAGTTGCTTTCTTGTGGGAACATCGAGAGAAACGAAGAGTGCCAGTTGGGGGCAAAACTGTCTTTTTTAA